CACACACACACACACACACACACACACACACACACACACACACACACACACACACACACACACACACACACACACACACACACACACACACACACACACACACACACACACACACACACACACACACACACACACACACACACACACACACACACACACACATAATAATGGTTGTTTCATTTTCTTTAAAAATGAAATTGTACTATATAGATGTGCGTTGTGATGGCGATGCATATTTTTTGAAAAAAATGTGTTTGTCGTTTAAAATCGACAATTTGATTATCTACAGATTATTTTTATCTCACACCTCCCTGTTTTCGATCCTAGTTTCTGACTCTAACAGCCTCAGCCTCGAACTGCATTTATTATTATGATGGAATTGCGTACACATCTATAATTGTATAAAGATAGATCAATCATGCAATCTAATTGAAATGTCAGGACACCTTGTAAGCTTGTAGAATAACTTCAAACCTGACTGATTAGTTCAGAGCTTGCTAATCACATCTCCGCTCACCATGGTGATGCACTCTCTCAAACCCGAAAGCTTCATATCGCATCTCTTGAAAGCTATATATAAATATATTGACCATAAACTGACGGTGGTTGATCTAATGAATTTAATGAAGATTGCCCGTAAAGACACGAACCATGCCAATGGAGAGCTGATCGGTGGAATACAATGGTTATAACGCGTCGAAGTTACAACATGCTCACGCTCTTAATGGTCATTTTCTTTCCGATCAATCTATAATTGGTTTTGAGAGGTACACCTTGCGCGTGCACGTGGGCACCTTGCGCGTCGCATCCGTTCACGTGGGCAATTGTTTAACAGTAATGAAAATATGCCACCCAAGTGCATTGCAAGAGATGGTTAGAGCAGAGCAACATTGTAATACAAGGCAGGTTCTTTTTAGCAAACTGTTCAGTCAGGTGACATTTTGCATTTGTTATCCGTCACTTAAATAAGTTACTTTAATAGTTTAATAGGTGTGGTTACTATGGTTACTATGGTTACTATGGTTACTATGGTTACTATGGTTACTATGGTTACTATGGTTACTATGGTTACTATAGGTGGGTTGATAAGAGGTGGTGTCCATTAAATGGACAGGTTAGACAATTTCCCCATCCTAATCTGTATCATCTCATCTTCTAAATTGCATCATCTTGCCAGGATAGTGCAGCTTTACTGTTACTCACACAGTGCACTTAACAAGTTAACACTTTTCTTATTAATATCCACTACTTTATTAATATCCACTACTTCATTAATATCCACTACTTTCAGTTTTTCAGTTTATATTGCACTTATGGGTTTTGTGACACTGACAGCAGTTCAGTTAAACAAAAATTTCAGTTTAAAAAAAATTTAAATTGTATGCCATTTATTACAGAATAAACAAGTTTACAATAAATCAATTTGATATTTAAAGGAATCCTAATTCAATGTGTAGTATGGTTGTCACTCTTTAAATAGATTAGATATAGCTGTTGACGGGGCAAAGGAGTGTTCGTGCTGTTCGCTATTGCTCACACCAAACGGCAACCTAGTAAATGTTTTGTATGGACACCGGTCTCCATCACGATACAAAATTAGGATTCTAGAATTTATTGTATAACTTTTAGTGCAGTGGAGGTAGCGGTGTGATGCATTAATATTAATAAAGTGACAGCCTACTGATTTAGAGTTGTTTTTAAGTGAGCGTCATGGGTGTATTTTTGGACCTAAAGACTTCAGTATGTTGCAGCTCCTATCAGTATTTTACTTTTCCTATCCAAATATTCACTGTTAAATCATTTATTTACCTTATTGGACATAATTGTCACGGACCAAATTTTTCACCGACATATTTATTTAAGCTCATGACCGCCCAAAAATGTCCAAAAATTGTGAAAATTTTTGGTGATTTTTTAATAATTGTTTTACTCTTTTTCTGAACTGTAGAATGTGACTAAGGATTATAAGGACTAGCAGGAACCCGTATAACCCTAATATATATAAAGCGAGACGATATATATATATTTATTTATCCGCACCATTTTACTGACACCACGGCATCAACTTTAACACGGGTTTCCGCAAAAACCGTACAAGATATAAAACTGAAACTTTTTTAACTGATTCAAATGCTTTAATGGCCTTCAAATCAGCATGAAAAAATCGAAAATCGGCCAAGGAATAAGAATTTTAGTACCCAAAATTTGGACCCCCAAGTGGTGTCAAAAACGCGAATTAAATAGGTAATAATTATTTTTACTGGGAGACTTTAGGGTAGGAAACTGATCCGGCCACCAAAGAGCCTTGACACCAGTCTTAAAGGTTTGACGGGTTCCTGCTAGTAACCCTAAAGTGGTGTCAAGACTCAAAATACTAAAATAATTATTACCTATTTAATTCGTGTTTTTGACACCACTTGGGGGTCCAAATTTTGGGCTCTAAAATTTTCCTATTCCTTGGCCAATTTGTATTTTGTATTTGTTCGTACTGATTTGGAGGCCATTAAAGGATTTGACCCAGTCAAAGAAGTTTCAGTTGTATATCTTTTAAGGTTTTTGCGGAAAGTCGCGTTAAAGTTCATGCCGTGGTGTCAGTGAAATGATACGGATAAACACATTAAAAATTTGGACTATAATTTGAAACATTGCAGGAATGTTGTACAAATCGCTCAAACACACACACTAAGTTTTAATTCGGTAAAATTCCATTTAAAAATTAAATGATTCTCGATTTGTGGATGTTTAATGAAAATTTAATACTGTGTGACAACTTTAAGAATGTCGTAGTGAGAAAAAGTTAACTGTCGATATATTCATGTGAGGTATTATCGAAGTTCAAATTGTTGTGATGGGTGACATGATAAATGATAATGACTGATAAGAGAAAGTTTTCATGTCAACTGTGCCATATAAATCCATAACAGTATGATGACTGTCAAAGTGTCGACCGCTAGGTACTAGAACGAACAAGTGCATCCGAGGTGTTCCGTGTTCTGAGAGAATAAGCGAATAAGGGAACACGAACGGGCAAAAAAGTGAAATGCACAGTAAATAATATATACATACATATATAATATATATCGTCTCGCTAATTTATATACATTATCGAGTTTTTTTTTCTTTTGTGAACCCCCATTTCTCAAAATTCGACTTTTTGGAACAGAGCCAAAAAAATTATCAAAGTTGAATCGCTGGAACAAATGAGCTTAAAATTAAATTTGTAAGCTTCATAAACTTTTTTTTGGAAAACGAAATTAGATATATACAGAATAGTATTACAGGTTATATATTATGAACATCATCATTGCAAAAATAAAACCCAGTCCATGGGACTGAAAAAATTAGTTGACTTTCGATTCGAAAGAGTTAAATTCTAAATCATCCATGTTAATTAATTCGTAAGTTTTGTTTGAGGTATTTCTTGATCCTCTAATACACAATAAAATTAATTTCCTAATTAAAAATGATAATTTACACCGATAATAATTTATAGTATCGTTGTAATTCTGCTTTTTCTTATAAGCAAGTTTGTTGCAAAGCAGTTTCTCAAATGTCTTGGCTTGAGGTCCCATGCCACCCGTTTATAAACCGATCCTTTATAAAAAAATTTATTGTTTTTTAAAATCAGGACATTATTTTTTAAAACAACCTGTATAGTAAAATTTAATTGTAATCATGTCACTGAAGATTGTTGTTCTCAAATCCATGAAACTTTTAGTTTGACGATAACATCGTTTACTTTGTTACGCTTATAGTAAGATTACTATAATAAGTGATTATATTTGTCCTAGTATACTAATAAGCTAATATAGCAATCGGCTACAAACATATCTACGCATACGTAGGGACACACACACTAAAATGAATGGAAATAATTACCGGACTTTATTATTCACGGACCTTAATGCCACAGACATTATTTTCACGGACATAATCATTCACACTAAGGTCTTAAGTGTGAAAGTAATGTACGTGATAATTATGACCAATAAGGTATATATAATACTAAATTTAATATTTATCTGATATTCTATAATTTACTTACTCACCGTTACTCTATTATAACCGTTTAAATATTAATCAATTAATGATAAATCCCACGCTTTTTTCTTGATCTTCACTTGACGTTACCTGACGTCAATAGTGTTGTGTTCCGGGGTTCTTATCAGTGATGAACAATTGAAACGATCACTTCCTAAAACCTAAAGGCTATTAGTATGATTAGTTAACAATATAAAATCATATATCAATATATAACATTCCTCCTTGTTCAATGTTCAAATCGTTTGCGTATCGAAAACATTAAGATTCGTCTCAGCTCGGACCACGTTTACAGAATTAAATTAAATTGCGCGCGTTTAATGCGCGTGACTGAAAACAACAAATTCTCTATAATATAACGACGTCCGCGTTTTACATAAAATACATAAAATCCAAATTCACATTCTCTCTCTTTCTACGAATGTTAAAATCTGCCGTATGCCAGTTAAAATAAAAGTCTCGTGACAAGTTGCTTTCCGATTTAAACTGCCGTTTCATGTTAGAAATCAAATGTTAAAATGTCCTTCATCTATCGGGTATCAAAATAAACATCTTCGTTCGATATTACAATACACTGCACGTAGTGCCTTTACACTTAAAACAAAATAAGCTGTCGTATAAAATGAGTAAAAACAATCTGTAATAAATTAATTAATTCCAACGACGTCTTGGTTTGTTAGCCAGTCTGTCAGATCTGCGAAGTGATACTGGTGCAGATCCCGTGTTGGGTGTGTTGTTAGTTTTAGTAGTTGTCAATCGTGTAGACTGTGTAGTCACGTTAGAAGTAGTAGGTCGTGTTACAGTGGCTTGAATAGGTGTAGGTGGTTGTGATTGTGAAACACTCACTGATGGAACACGTGCTGGTGAAACATTCTCTAACTCTAACGGACCACGTACTGGTGAATTGTGCAATGGTGAAACATTCGACTGGACATGACTATTGCTAGTTTCTAGATTACCTGGGGGACTATACAAAGTTGGTTTCTTTCGCTGTAACATTGGTCTCAGTCTCTTCTTGATCTGATCTGCGTGTTTTACAACTTTTCTCCCACCAAACTGTACTTCATACATGTTGGAATTGCCCAGTCTTTTTTCAATAACACCTTCTTTCCATGTGTCTTTAGCTGTAGGTGGTTGAACATACACGTCTTGTTGTTCTTCAAACTGTCTGTTTCGAATTCTGCTAGAATCAAGAACTGCTTGCTCCTTCTCGATATCCATGCTGCCAACTTTCTGCTGATCCAGTAGGGTAATCTGATGAAGTCTGGATCTGAGCGATCTTTTAAACATCGCCTCTGCTGGTGGTGTACCTGTTACACTGTGTGGCGTGTTTCTGTACCGGATCAAGAAGTTCGCTAAATTCTTGTGAATATCTTTACAATCTTCGTTCATCTTTTTCATAGCAGATTTGAAAGTTCCTACAATTAACCGTTCACAACAACCGTTACTTTTCGGGTGATATGTTCCTGTCTTTAAGTGTCTGATGTTGTTAGATGATAAGAACTTTTCAAACTCGTCAGAGGTAAAGTTGGTTCCATTGTCGCTTACTATGACGAATGGCAGTCCGTTTCTACTAAATATCTCTCGTAGTGCTCTGATAGTAGCTGCTGGAGTGGTGTCTTTGTTCATCTTTATCACTTCTGGCCATCTTGTGTAAGCATCATAGACAACTAACCACATTTTGTTGAAGAATGGGCCTGCGTAGTCAATATGTACGCGCTGCCAAGGCATAGTGGGTTTGGTCCACGGATGTTCAGTGAGACTTGGTAAACTCTTCCCATGTTTACCACAACTTTTACATGTGCTGGCTAACTGTTCAATCTCTGAGTTAATCCATGGCCAGTACACGTAAGAACGAGCCAGAGTCTTCATTCCACTCATCCCAAGGTGTGTGACATGTAGCATCTCCAACACTGTCGATCGTAGTTTGCTGGGAATAATGACTCTGCAACCCCACGTTATACATCCTAGCTCCACAGATAATTCACTTCTTCTGTTCCAGTAAGCTGTCATCTCTTCACTGAATTGTATGCCTTTGTCCGGCCATCCATTCATGATGTAGTGTAACACTTTTGACAAAATCGGGTCTTTCTTGGTGTAACTCTCGATCTTCTTAGCAGTTAAACAGGTATCTTCAATGTCCACACTGAAGACTAGCTCTTCCTTAGCTTCTTCTTCGTCCTGTTTAGTGTGTGGAACTGGTAATCTTGATAGCATGTCTGCATTACCATGGGCTTTGGTCGAACGATATGCTATTTCGTAATCGTAATCCATAAGGAATATCGACCATCTGGTTAGTCTTGCTGCTGTCATGACCGATAACTGTTTGTTCTTATTGAATATGTGGACTAGCGGTTAGTTATCAGTGACTAGCTTAAACTTCCTCCCGTACAGGTAGAGGTGAAAACGCTTGACTCCCCAGACAATTGCTGTAGCTTCCTTGTCGATCTGTGAGTAGTTCTTTTCTGCAGATGTCAAGGTGCGTGAGATGTACTCAACAGGTCTTTCAGTTCCGTCAGGCATTACATGCGACAAAACATCGCCTAATCCATGTGATGATGCGTCTGTATCTAGCTTTAGCGGTAGATTAGGATTGTACAAAGTCAGAACTGTCTCCGAACTTAACATGTTTCTCAGTTTCTCCCAAGATTTCTGTTGTTCCTTGCCCCATTTCCATTTGACTCCTTTCTTCCTGAGTTCGTCTAAGGGTGCAATAATCTGAGACATGTTTGCAATGAACCTTCTGTAGTAGTTCACTCCTCCAAGAAATGATACAAGTTCGTCCACCGACTTTGGTACTTTCATCTTCAGTAAATCTTCCACTTTGGATTTTACAGGCTTTATTCCGTCTTTGTTCACAGTGTGACCTAGGTACGTCACTTCGTCTTCCATGAACTGGGATTTCTCCGGTTTACATCTGTATCCTTGATTTTCTAATCTTGTTATGACCTCGTTCAAAATGGTCATGTGTTCTTCATCGTCTTTTCCTGATATGAGAATATCGTCGACTCTACAACAACACATTTGAATCCCGGCTAGAGTTTGGTCAATGGTCTCCTGAAAAATCGCAGCAGCGGGTGCGATACCATACGGTAACCGGTTCCACATCAACTGTCCTAGATGGGTGTTGATTGTCGTTAAAATCCTGTCTTCCTTTCTGATCGGAATGTTGTTGTAAGGTTGTCGAACATCCAGCTTAGTAAACTTCTTACCCCCTGTTACCTTGTTAAAGCACTCTTCTATTGAAGGTAACGGGTATTGCTGAGCTGCCATCCCTGGATTCAACGTGAGATTGTATGATCCACAAATCCTTGTCTTCTCTCCTTTAAACACTGGAACTACGGGTGTTCCCCAAGGACTTGCTCCCTCAATTTTGCTCAAAATCCCTTCGTTGATCATTCTCTGTAACTCGTCCCCGACTTGCTTCTTCTTAGCATAGGGTAACGGTCTCACTCCAAGTGATTTAGGCTGTGGCTCCTTCCTTGAGAATCAGCTTTGCTTCAGCTCCTGAGATAAGTCCTAAACCTTGCTGAAAGATTGGACTTTCCTTGAGTTTACTAATCGTTCTGAGTTTAAATACTTCCATGTCTCTGTCTGATACTGCAGTGACAAGTTCTTCATCCACACTACTACACACATTTGCATCAACAGTCTCTTTGTCCTTCTGAAGATTAAGAATCTTTGTCAGCCAGTCTGGTCCTAAAAACTCTGTTATCCATGACTGCCCCATGAGCGACGGGCACTTGTCATCTGTTATATACCGCTCTAATCCCTGTATCAGTCTTCCGTTGAACTCAACGTCTACCAGAATTTTACCTTTGACAGACAGTCTCTCGTTGTTAGCAACACGCAGGGTCTTGTTAGCAGCACGCAGGGTCTTGCCTAACCCTAACTTAGAAAAAACATCACAACTAACTATACTTACCGTGGATCCACTGTCGAACTCCATCTGTAGATTAACTCCATTCAATTTAACCTGAACGAGTGGTTTAGAAATGTTCGTGTAGTTAACTGTCAGTTCATTGTCATCATAAAAATCATTATGAATTTCAACATTGCTCTCAGAAAACTTGAGCATGGTACAATCTAGGTCAGAAATTTCATTTTCAAATTCAACATCATGATAAACAGAGGACTGACACACTAAACTTGTGTCAAATTCACCTAACTCACTCTCTGAGTTATCTAAGGGTGAATACTCTAACACCTCCTCCACAAATAAAATTTCCTCACTTGACTCCTCACTCTCGCTCTCAAGCTCTGAATTACTCTTTTCTGAACTTTCACTATCTGAACAAGACTCCACATGATAAGTTTTGACGTCTTTCTTTCTCTTCTTCTTTCTCTTTACGTGTTGACAGTTCTTTCTGATGTGTCCCACTTTCTTACAGGCATGACATTTTGTGAAACACTGTTTCTCTGAATGTCCCTTCAGTGTACATTTCTTACATGTGACCACTGTTTTCTTGTCAGTCCTGTGGGATCTCTCTTTCTTCCTAGACTTAACACTGTTTACTGTTCCACTGCTTGATGCGTTCATTTCTTGAGCCTCCAATTTGGTCTTCTCCAGTGACAACATGTGCTCTCTTGCGAATTCTAGGGTCAGATTGGTCTTCTTTAGCAGTTTGGTTTTCTCTCTCTCTTCTCTTAGTCCTGCTACAAACTGGTCTAACAATCTGGAATCTAGATCCTGAAACTCGCAATCAGTTGCACATACTAGCAGTCTCTCCATATAACTAGTGCTCTTTTCATTCTCCTTTTGTCTGATCTGTGTGAAGTGGTATCTTGAAGCGAATTTGGTTGGCCTGGGTGCGAAATGTTCGCATAGTCTCTGCTTCAACTTACTGTATCTCTCTTCCACTAGCTTCGCTGGTTTACACAAGTTTGTGGCTTTTTTAAACATACTTGAGTCCATGTTGACGATGAGTAGCTTGGTTCTTTGGAGCTCTTTCAATTCCTCTATCCGGACTTCCCTTTCTCTAGTAAGTCTGTCAGTTTCGTCCTGAGCTCTGTTGTCGTCCTCCGGGATTTCTGGGATTGTCGGGTCTTCCACCAGTTCCCCGACCTCTAGAAAAACCTCAAATTGTTCAAACCAACTTCTTACATCTGTGACATTTGTCGTGGAGAGTGGTTCATTAAACTGATATCTCATCACAGTCGCCATTGTTGTGTTCCGGGGTTCTTATCAGTGATGAACAATTGAAACGATCACTTCCTAAAACCTAAAGGCTATTAGTATGATTAGTTAACAATATAAAATCATATATCAATATATAACAAATAGGTATAGTTGTAAATTGATAAAGGCGGTCCAATAATTAAGAGGATGTAAAAAATAAATTCCCAAATTTGTGCGTGCTTTCAGTTTTGTTCAACGAATTGTTCATGAAACGATAATAAGATTGTATGATATCCAAAGATCACGTTTTCTTGTGTTTTGCCCGTAAGAGCCTCTACTATAATTATAAGTATTATAATTGCATAAGAGAAACTTAATCTGTAACTATACTGTACTAATGTAATTTGATCGATAGAATTATTAATTTACCATACTACTACTATTGAATATTGATTATTCTATAAATAATTGTTATACTATTGAATATTGTAATTATGTTAAGTAGAAATAATTACAGATTTAATTTTACTATCACCTAATCCATTTCGTTTTGCTAGGAAATGTATTCGGTGTGTAATGCAGGTATATCTTTATGAAACGTGACTGTATAAGGTAACAGATTAGTACCAAGCACGGTCAGCATGGCTGTGCAATGACCGGAACGTGTCACGGGATAACTGCAGCCTTGTCGCCAGACCGGCGCCCACCGACTTACCTTGTCTGTTCTATGACCAAATATAATGATACTAGTGTGATAGTGGAAAGAGAATTATTGGTGTAAGCTGTGAAGTTCTGCTAATGGACCTCCCTAGTCCTCCTTGCTATACAGTTATAAAGTTGAAATGCATTATTATTAGTAGGGATGTGCGTCTGACTATAATCTGTTCCCATTAAAGTGATCACGTGACCAGAATTAGTTCCGTTTCTATGGAGATCACGTGACCAGATTTAGTTCCGTTGCTATGGAGATCACGTGACCAGAATTAGTTCCGTTGCTATGCATGGAGATCATGCTTACTTGTACTTGAGAAGGTCTCCTCCTAGTCGTTGGAGTGGCCTGTACCAAATAGTAACTCCTTTCTCCGGTGTATTAGACCTCTCCAGTGAACCCTGTCTGTAGCGGCAAGTTGCCATAAACGAAATTTTATTATCGGTGCTGATAATCGCTTATTGGGCGCTTTTTCGGCGCTTTTTAAACCTCTGTAGCTTGTTGTTCTGCATCTTCTATCGAGATGTTCTCGCGACACCTGTGAAGATTGCTGCATCCTCCCGGACACATGACAACCAGTTTTTCCGAGGTCTACCTCTTGACCTTTTACCATGCATTGGGATCCAGTACAGAAGATAGTTGGGTATTCTTTCTTCTGGCATCCTCACCACATGGCCAAACCATCGGAGTCTAGCTGCTCGTACGAAAGTATCAACAGGGAGATCACGGGACCAGAATTAGTTCCGTTGCTATGGAGATCACGTGACCAGATTTAGTTCCGTTGCTATGGAGATCATGTGCCCAGAATTAGTTCCGTTGGCGTTGCTATGGAGATCACGTGCCCAGAATTAGTTCCGTTTCTATGGAGATCATGTGCCCAGAATTAGTTCCGTTGCTATGGAGATCATGTGCCCAGAATTAGTTCCGTTGCTATGGAGATCATGTGCCCAGAATTAGTTCCGCGTTGCTATGGAGATCATGTGCCCAGAATTAGTTCCGTTGCTATGGAGATCACGTGACCAGAATTAGTTCCGTTGCTATGGAGATCATGTGCCCAGAATTAGTTCTGTTGCTATGGAGATTACGTGACCAGAATTAGTTCCATTGCTATGGAGATCATGTGTCCAGAATTAGTTCCGTTGCTATGGAGATCATGTGTCCAGAATTAGTTCCGTTGCTATGGAGATCATGTGCCCAGAATTAGTTCCGTTGCTATGGAGATCACGTGCCCAGAATTAGTTCCGTTGCTATGGAGATCATGTGTCCAGAATTAGTTCCATTGCTATGGAGATTACGTGACCAGAATTAGTTCCGTTGCTATGGAGATCATGTGCCCAGAATTAGTTCCGTTGCTATGGAGATCATGTGCCCAGAATTAGTTCCGTTGCTATGGAGATCATGTGCCCAGAATTAGTTCCGTTGCTATGGAGATTACGTGACCAGAATTAGTTCCGTTGCTATGGAGATCATGTGCCCAGAATTAGT